GCGAGTCCGCTTCTCGGATTCATCCAATAGATCATTAAACTCACGTGGCACGTCGCGACTCTACTCGACGAGTTGGAGTACTGACTCGTCGAGTACCTCAAGAGATAAATAAATAAATAAATAACAATAATATACCTGGAAGTCCAGATGTTATATATATATATATATATATATATATATATATATATATATATATATATATATATATATATATATATATATATATATATATATAAGGAGTAGTTCAAATGAGAACCACAAAAGATTAAGAATCGTAAGAACCCCATTTTATAAGTAAATATGTACACAATACTCATTAAACATGTTAAAATCCATATATATTTTTTTGTATTTTTGGTACGCAAAGGGTAAATTTGTAATTTTTTGCAGTCTAGTGTTCTAATTCATACATCGATTCATATTTTGACACAAAAATTATACGAAATACAAAATTTAATACATTTCATTCATAATTTATTACACACAATTCACAATTTAAATACAATTATAATATCACTAATTTACTAATTTAGGAGACTCAAACTCAAACTCTACCAACACCATCAACTACCACATGTCAGCACCAACCATCTATGTCAACGTCGTAACCATCATTCTTTTCAAACCAAATCTGCATATAATATCATGCATTGTTAGCTTAAACACTAATTTAGAGTTTAATATAACAATTATGAAAACTAGTACATTCTTACATATATATACTTCACAAAAAATATACTCACAAGAAAATTAATACAAATATTCTTATTTTAACATAAAATTAATAAAAAAAATTAACAATTTAATATAGTCAATTCACAGGTTAATACATTCAATTCACAATTTAATATACAAAATTAACAGCTTAATATATTAAATTCACAATTTAATACACAAAACTATACATTCACATCCATATTCTATACTTAGTACTTATATTTATACCTTAAGATATGTGGACTAGTGTTTATTTCAAATTTTAATTTAAATAATATTCTCAATTTAAAATTTACATGTTATTAAAAAAATAAAGAAAATAAAATCTATACATAATGCTTCTTTGATCTTATATTTTAGAAGCAAAAATAAAATTCATAAAAAAATTAACAGCTTAATATATTCATGGTTGTAGAAATTGGGATTAATCGTTTGACGTTCTCCAACCGACTAGGATTAGTGTATTTGACGAAAATTAGGGATTAATCAGTCGTAACAAGATTAATCGGTTAACAAAAGTCAACAAAAGTCAAAAAAGTCAAAAGAAAGTCCAAAAAAAAATCAAAAAAAAAAAAAAAAAAAAATTACTCCAAAATTTCAAATATTATACCAAAATGTTCATGTTTTCGTATTTTCAAAATTTCAAATTACAAATTCTCTTATTTTCTAATTTGAAGTACTTATTTTTCTGAAAATATATTAATCTTTGATTAATTTTAATATTTTATTAATAATTTATGGTCCTCGATTAATCACTTAACACCATTCGACCGTCAGACGATTTTTACAACCTTAAATATATTCAATTCACAACTTAATACATTTAACTCACAATTTAATACACAAATTGACAATTTAATAACATATATTTACAAGTTAAAAATTAAATCTGATGATGTTTGGAGCTTGGAGGTTGTATTAGATAGCAATTCACATACCCATCACAATTGACAACTTAAAAGACCTGAATTCACATTATTTGAGAAAACACTAATATAATAAAAACACGTTTAAATTCACATTAAAACTTATAAAAAAATTCATTTAATCACAAAAATCATATATTCACAACTTAATACTTATAAAAACTCATGCATTAACAACTTTTTTTTCTAATTAAAACAATCAGATATGTATAAAATCAATGCATTAACAACTTAATAATTATAAAAAACAAACACTTATTCATATCTTAAGAAACTAGTTCAAAAACTTATTCATATTATTCAATGTTTAAAAACATACCTTGTTTTTAGTGAAGCATTTCATCAAACACCTTCAATGCATCTTATGCCCAGATCTGAGGTTGTTCCCTTGCTTCAGATTCATAAGCACCGATGGTAGGAAGCATCAATGGTGGTGTGACATTGGTTATGGTAGAGATGGAGTCATATCGATGGTGGTAGCATCAGATCTAAATGTCAGATCTGTTGGCGGTGATATCCGTCAAATCTATTGTTCTGACGAACCAAATCGGAGAAGTTTTCTTGTATTCCATCAGATCTGGAGAATAACTTGATATGGACTTCGGAGCAGAGTGTGGCATTTTTTTGGTGTTCCGACGAAGCATAATAGCTACTGTTAGGCGGTGGTGATAAGGTTGACTATCAGATCTAACCAAATCGCACCAGAACTGATATGATTTGCGTTTTAGAGAGAGAAAGTGAAGCTGAAACAACTTTTTGACTCCATATCCGAGACCAAGTGGCCATCGATAGTGATAAAGGAAGGTGGTGGTTATCACCGCTTAACGGAGCTCATAATATGGAGGAAAAAATCGAAGATCCTAAGTCAAAAATAGTAGATTTGAAAACAAAAATTGTAGATCTGAAGAGAGAAATCGTAGTTCTGAAGCTGAAATTGTAGATCTGAAGAGGAAAATCGTAGATCGGAAGTTGAAATTGTATATTTGGAGCCAACCGGAACTTGTGGATCTGATGACGATGATTCGTCAGCGATAGGAGGCGGCAGCGGTTCGCCGACGGTAAGAGGCGGTGACAGTCAAGATTGGTGGCTAGTGTCTAACTGGTGATAATGTTTGTGTGTTCTTCAAGTTTGAGATAAGAGAGAAAATAACTATGTGAGAGTCTATGTAGTGTGTATAGATCTGATATAATAAAAGATGAAAGTGAGTTTTGTGTTATACTTTAATAAAAAATGATTCTTAAGTGGTTCTTAACTTTTAATGGTTCTTATTTGATCTTTTGTCTCTCTCTCTATCTCTTTTTTTCTCTCTCTCTCTCTCTCTATATATATATATATATATATATATATATATATATATATATATATATATATATATATATATATATATATATATAGGAAATAATTGTATAATTAAAAACATTATAAAATAAAATTAAAAATAACCACATTAAAATTTTTAAGAACATGATTTTCTAGGAAGAAGATGATGAAACTGGAATATATTTAAAAAAAGAGAACAACAAAAAAACTTCTAATGAATAAAATAAGTCTATTAAATAAAAATCAAACAATTTAAACGATTTATATATGTACCTTATTAAAAAAACTTGTTTTAGCTACGTTATTGCTTTTTTAATTACAACATTTATAAAAAAATCTAAACGTTTTTTACAACGTTTTTAAAGCTTTTTATAGTTTTAATATACCTTTTTTTTTAACCAAAGTTTATGTGTTGTCAAACAGAAAAGATCATAATATCGTAAGAATGCTGGGCCACAAAATTTGGTTTGCTTTGGTGGTAGGCCATGCCCAAACAGTAACCGGACTTTTTATAGTTTTAAAATACGATAACAGGCAGGCCCAATTATTTAAATTCAGCAAAAGTGGTCATCTCTTTACTTTCTAATGATCTGCTCAAGTCGGCGACAGGAGATTAAAATTTTGGATAAATTAGTTATGAAACTTACGCATGAAATGAGTTTATTTAAAAAAAATAATTTAAGTACGAAAATCTAAAAATTTAGGAAGTTTGAAATTTCGATAAATTAGTTGTGAAACTTATGTATTATATGAGTTTATTTAAAAATAATAATTTAAATACGAAAATCTAAAAATTTAGGAAGTTTGAATTTATATAGAAAAAAAAGTTATTGAATTATTGAAATGTAATGTTTAATTTGTTATTTTTAACTTTTTTTTTATTTTTTTTTTTAACTTTAAACAAATAATTTAAATAAATAAACAAATAAAACAATTGAATTTAATTTAGATATTAGAAATTAAAAGGAAAGTTATATTATAAAATTAATATGCATTTATTGTCACATTTACTATATTTGAATATCATATGAAATTTAATAAAATGATAAAAAAAAAAAAAAACCATAAAATGATAAGTAGGAAAAAATAAAAATATCTTAGAAAGTGACATACGAGTAAAAAAATATTTATTTATTAGGTTAGATTGTTGATAAATAAAAATTCGTTATCTTATTTTTGAATTTATGCAAACCTTTTATATTTTGAACTATTTACATTTTAGTCATTCACATTTTAAATATTTTACAATTTAGTCATTCTTAGGCCCGTTTTTATTTATTTATTTATTGAATTGAGTTATTGTCAATAATCTATTAATAAGCAGCAAACCAGCAATCATTATTTTAGCATGTGTATAATATAAATGTTTATATTTATTTAATGATTAAATCAATTCAGTCAAAATCTTAAACATAAAATATGTTTCTTTTTATACTTTAATCCCAAGGCTAATACAGATACCTTTTACTTCTCTTTAAAATAGTCCAAACTAATAAAAGAAAGATAAATTAAAATTTGTAGCATAACAAAATTTTGGTTTTGTCCCGAATTGGTCATTTAAGTTATTTTTTTTGTGCAATTAATCTCCCAACTTTCAAATTACACATCAATACGGCATTTTGAGCAAGGGAACTGGATGAGCCGGTTACATTGCTTACATGTTAATTTAGAAATACGATAAAAAGAAAATTGAAGGCCACGATGGCAATTCCACATAATTATCAAGTTAAATGAGACCAGTGTAAATGAGAGGAACTTAAGTTCAATTGTTCTTCATTGTTTTCATTAGCAGTACTCCAAAACCTCGAGTCAGAGCTAGGGTTTACAAGTCCCCCACAAAACGAAGTGAAGTAGGAGGAAGTAGAGGTTATGTCAACCTCGAACCCCCATGCGATATTTTCAATAGTGGAACATAGCTTTAAGGGGGTGTTTATTCACCGTTCTTTATCTTACACTAATGGTATGAAATTCACTTTCGTAGATCATATTTTTGTGGTATGATATACTCAGAGTGTATTACTTTCCTCCAACGTTTCATGCAATTAGATTGTAAAAAGATATACTACTGTGAGTCAGGTGCTTCTATTTTGAGTGGCCTTATGCCCATCTCAAATGAAATGGAATATACAGGTTTCATCTTTGATGCATATGGAACTAATGGTCAAATATCCCTTTATGTGGACCATAGTGGTGATGGAATAGAAGATATGTTTGAGTCAAAAGGAGGAGATGATGACCATGATTCTTGTATTAGTGGTGGGGATGATGACATAGGTACCCTTAGGGATGTGAAAGTGGATTTTAATGAGGAAATAGTTACTATGAATAGAATATGTAATGTTGAATTATTAACTAAATTATGGGCCTAAGAAGAGGGGAAGAGGAGGATACCAACTATGAAGTAGAAGATGAGGATGAAAGTGAACCCCCCATAAGTCGAGTTCACGCCATTTTTAATGAGTCAACATACTGGAAGAAACAAAGCCTATACTTGGTACAAGATTTAAAGATCCAGCTCAAGTAAAAACTATGTTGTGCAACTATGTCGCAGTTAATGGATACCAATTATGTTTTGTTAAAAAAGGTAGGAAAAGGTTGTTGGCACATTATTGCAAGGGTAAGTGTACCTTCAGGTTATGTGCATTATGGATGAGTGATGAAGACAACTTCCAGATTAAAATTTTGAGCCTAGAGCATAATTATGATATGAACTAAGTTAGGTTCGTTAGTTTCATATTCATGGATATGAAGTCATCATACCAAACAAATCTTACATAGACAGAGTGTGATAAAATTAAGATTAGAAGTTATTAGGAAGTTTGGTATTCATGTAAGTCTTGGTAAATGTAGGAGGGATAAGAAATATGATTTGCAACTAATAGATGGAAATCTTATGGAACATTATGCAAAGTTATGGTCATATGGAGAAGATATTAGGAGATAAAATCAAGGTTCAATTGTTTACTGAAAATTTTATGTTTACTTTGATGGAGTGAAAAAAAGGATGGATAAAGGGATGCAGGAGGATAATAGGACTTGATGGTTGTTTACTGAAAGACATTTGTAAAGGGGAGAATTACTATGTACTTGTAACACCTGGAATCTTGAGGAACAATTTTTGGGAATAAATCCCTTTTTGAGGATTGGACGCGGCGTGTTGGAGGAACCAACACGGCGTGTTGCCTCTTTAAACACGACGTGTTGACGGCTGGAATGAAAACTCTAATCTTCCAGGTTTTGCTCCCTATTTAAAGGAATACGGAGGCTAGGGTTGTCTATCCTCATCCCCCAAGCCCTGAAAGAAACCCTAATCATCTTTCCCTCCCATTTTTGATCAAGTTTTGTGTTTTTGAAGCTAAACAAGAAAGAAGGTGGAGGTAGGAAGCAAGGATCTAGCAAGCAAGCCATCATTCTTTAGTGTGACACTCTTTTGGACCTTTGTAAGTGTCCAAGACTCAATTTTTACCATCCCAAGCCGTTAGATCTTGAGTTTTGTCCCTTTACTTTCTTTTTCTTGGATATTTGAATGGTTAAATCTCATAAAGTTTGCAACTTTATGGATCTCCAAGTCAAAATGATCTAGCAGTGTCTTGGATCTGGTCTATAATCAAGTTTTGAAGCCATGCATAGAGATTAGGTCATAAATCCTCATTTGAGCTAATATGGGTTCAATACATGCATTAGACATGTATGTTTAAAAAGAACTAATCTTTGAGATGGTTTGGGTGTTAGAATCACTTTTGGAAAGGATGGACTTTAGACTTTAAGGATTAAGTGCTTATCAGTTAAGCCCTTGGATTATCAAGCTTTATGGTTTGGGTTCTGGACCCTTTTGGTAGTCCCAATAGATAAAGTTGGAAACTTTACCCTTCTAAATCTTATTAGATATGAGCTTTGGAGCTCTTAGAGTCGAAGAAAGCAACTTAATGTATTAAGCTGTTGGAACTGTTGGATTAGGTGTCTAAGCCCATAACTATAATTGGTATGTACTTGACCCGAGAGTAGCATGGTCCATTTGGGTTGCATATCACCAGGACAATTTGATAGGATGAACTTTTGAGAATAGGTTATTTATGATTTTTTAAATATATTATAAGCTCTAATATGTTAATATCAAATTATATGATTTAATTAGTATTGGTCAAGAATTAGTTTGGAACTAATTTAGTGATCATAAGAGACTAATTAAATGTAAGGGGATTGATTTGATAAATCAATCATTCTTATGGTGTGGGCTTATTGTTATTTAGGATGGGATAAACCAATATGGTAGTCTATAGATAGTCCATGGAGGTTTAACCCATGGATCCTAGGTGATATGAAGAGTCATGGGTATTAGGGTTTACATGGTGCTAACCCTAATCCTAGCCACACTATATAAGAAGCCCCTTAGCATCCAAAATTGTGCACTAGATATTCTAAGAGTGCTTGAGCCGATTTGAATGTAAGAATATTCTCTCAAAAGTCATTCTTTGTCCAAAGGTGTGTTGTGATTCCATTTAAGGTGCAACACTTGGGGCATTAAGTTCTTAAGGCCAAACACAACAAGTTCTACAAGCCACAACCAAGAGGTAACTCCCTAACTCAATTTTATGTTGTTTATATCATTTTATATAATAGTTTCATCCTTAATGCTTTGGAAACAATATTGCATGTATAATTAGAGAAAACACAGATCCAAAGCATTTAGGGTTGTATGTGCACCATAGGATGATGTATTATACTAAATGTGACATCCCCAATTTCACGGCCAGAAAAAACTGATTTGTTTATGCTTTGTTTTTAAAATCAGAGTAATATTTTAAAGAAAACAGTTGCGTAATTTTTTCCCAAAACAAAATATATATGATAAGAATTTATCAAAGCATTTCTTTAAAGAAATGTATTTTCATTATATAAGAAAATCTCGGGATGTCATGTTCAATACAGACCAAAAGCATAAACAGAACAAAATAGACCTTACAACAGTTATTCATAACTAGTGGCCTATAATCCAAAATCTCTCGTTATGTCAGCCAATTTATGCTCTCGTGCCATAACTTGTAATACAAAGAAAATATAAAGAGTCAGGCTTGGGAGCCTGGTGAGCATATAGGGTTTTCAACCCACAATAATATAATTATTATATTCACTTATCAAATAATCAATCCAATTACCCACCCCAAATCCAATTACCCACCCCTATTATCTTCCTTTATTTCATAAATATTTATTCTAAGAACCGATTACCCTTCTCCCATTCATTCCTAAGTATTTACCTAAGGAACTAGCACAAAGTCTAATGCTGCCAAGGTTCTTAGATTACCTCTGGTGAACACGCAGTTCACAATAATTAACACCTAGTTCAAGAACACCTAATGAACACTTAGTTCCAATATTACCCAATGAACACCTAGTTCACAAACACTTAATGAACAATTGGTTCAAATATCCCTGATGAACACTAAGTTCAAATATCTAATGAACACTTAGTTCGAATATCCCTTGTGAACCCAATCACCTAAGGAACACAGAGTAAGAAAGCTCTTAGTTCAAACAATGTGATAATAAAGTGTATCTCGATCCTGCAAAACCACTAATATTATAAGCACATATAAACCATATTTCTAAAACAATATATCCCATCCCGTCGATCCCCACAAATTGACCCTATACAATGATCTTACGAGATCTAGCCTAAGGAATTGATATGAACCACAAACTGACGAAGCTGCTTCGGAAATTACCTGGCAGCAAACGAGGATCAATAAATACATCAAATGCGGGGAATGGAATAAGTTTCACCACGAACCTTTGTTCGTAAAAGAAAGAACCACAAGAAATTTTAAGTCAGGGGTAGTTATCTGTATAACAATGCCTAGGCGTGGTCCGAATATCGTGAGGTATTTTACCCTTAGACTCTCCCTATCCAACATCGAACTTTGCCTAGCATGGCCTAAATTTCATGAGGTATTTCACCCCCAGACGCACCCTACCCAACAATATAACATTAGACATACCTAGCAGTAGTCTATTACCGACACACTTTAATAGGCAGTCTACAAAGTTCCCTTAATTACTTCGTGAAAGAAAACGCTGACATATGAAGCTGGGTCGATCACCTCATAAAAGAAACGATGACTCCAAAGCTCTCTGAAAATAAAAGTATGGTGAAATACTACTAGAGTACTCCCGTACACTCCCAGAGCAGACACACAAAATTTTCAAAAGACTTTTTACATGATAGTACTTCTGGCACATTATAGTACTCTGGTATGCGAAAGACTCGTACCCAAGAACATAATATTACCTTGGCACAAGTAGCACCTAAGACACAGAGTTTTAAAAAGGACTTCGTACATAAAATGTACTTCTATATGTAGGACGTACTCCACCGATCATCAATCTCACAACACACGTACTCTTAATAAGAGTCTACCCAATGTACAAACTTAATGGAACTAAACATCCCCATTTAAGTCTTAACCCATCACTAGGCAAGCCTACAACGCCTATAATCAATTTCCGATACTATCTCCGTTTGGAAACGCTAACTATGAGTATACTTAGCACAAAGTTTTAAGTAATAATATCATATATACACATCTTAACACATATTGGACCATAACAGGTTCGTACATTGTATATCATCAATTATATATATAACACGTATTTTGGGCAATAACAAATACTTCACATACATATATAATTAATACTTTAATCAATACTTGTATTAAAATTATGTCCATGAAAGGGAATATGCACATGATACCCTATCGGCTGAACACTTAGTTCAAAAATACACAATCCGTACTCCCGGATCTAAAATTTACCTCATTACCTAATCCATATTCCCGGATCTAAAACTAACCTCTTGATCTAATCCATACTCCCGAATCTATAACAAGTTTATCTCTTTATCCTTTTATCTCATGATCCAAATCATCTTTTATCCCATACCAACAATCTCATCTACCCATGCTCTACCCAACATATTCGTAGATACAAAATATGTATACAGTTTAACTCATTAAAATCTATATAATTTATCCATTCCATAGTTATCTCAAATAAACAACAATATATACACACAAAAAACGTATTTCATAGCAAATACTTAATATTTATGTGTAAGAAAAAAAGTAACTATACACTCATTTGATCAGAAGATGATCGGGCAGCACTACGGCTTGTAGAAGTAGTATTCTTCGGTAAAACTGTGATATCTTCACACACCGGGCTTCTTGCGGGCAGAGCTTCGGCTCAGAAACTCTTTTTTTATTGGGATCTTCGGGATTCGAGACTTGCTTCGTGTCTCAGGATGATAACGGGGTTCGAGGGGTTAAAATAGGGCTTAGAGAGGGTATCAGGAGTGGGAGAAAAGAGATTG